TGAGCTGAAGAGGGGGAGTTCAAGTGCCCTGAGCCCCTCTCCCGAGCACAGAGACTTTTCGGTGGTCTCACGTTGCGTGATTGGAGTGGCCCTGAACTTGCCTGGTGGATCCCCATCCTCCTGTGGCTGATGACCTTGAGCTGTACCAAATAATTATTTTCTCACTAGGTTTTTTGGAGTAGCAGTTGGAGTAATCGAATGATTGTAAAATGGGCCCCTAGTCTGCTAGGAGTTAAGTGAAAGCTAAACTGATGCCATCTACAGGAACATTTTTTAGTCATGCTTAAGGTCACAGCTAGATAAAGGGTTAGGAAATATCAGTCGGAGGCTGCAGCACCAGAAATGGGTTTCTGCAAGCGCAGCTTGTGCGTGTCGGGAAGCAGGGAGGTAGAACATGCAGCACACACTGATACTCATGTGGGCTTAACCTGGACTAGGCTCAGATCCATGATGAGATTCTGTTGATCAGAGCAGAAACATTAAGTATTTTAGTTAATCTGGTGCTGTTTCATTCGTGCTGCAGTATTGTTGTTATTCCAATTGTGTGATTTGCTGTGTCCAGCCTGGATCCCATTCAACAGCTGTATTTCTCAAGATTATTTTTCTGCCCTTTCTTATTTAAATGCATTGATGCCAGCAGAAGTTTTACAGCTTTTTAAAAGAATGATGTCTCCCTCCAGTGGTAAAGTGCCCAAAGTTTTGATTTCCAAAATCAATTGGGTGACCATGAGTATATGAGTGTGAATGACAATGCACTTAGATGTGAAATAATTTTGTGACACATGATGTGAGAATGTGAGATGTGAGATTTGTGATCTCATGTGAGAATGATTCCTCATTATTAGCCACTTATTTTGTAGCGTTTCTTCCAGCTGTCTGTGTCTGTGACAATCCTCTCTTACACAGCAAATCTTAATACTCTTCATTTCAGCAACAGTTTAATACATGCAAATAGTACTGAAGTCCCACTGAATTTGCACACTTCACTGTTTCAGCAGAGTGATGTTCCTCCATGGGATCCATGTGGTGCCCCGTTGCCCTGAGCAGGAGCTAATCAAGTGCTTTAGACCTTTTGTAGAAAAATCTCTTTGGATTAAGCTGGTTTCAGTTCAGAAGAGACGTGCTCAAGCCCCGGTCACCTTGTAACACTTAGTCTTACGATATGTGCGCACTGGGGCGAGAAGCTATTGATTTAGCTTCTGTAAAAATAAATGTAAAGTCAAAGGCCTAAGCATTTTTAGCACCTCTCCAGAACTCTGCCTGACTTGTGCGGCCCCACGTGCAAGTCCCATGGCTTCCACTATCTTCTATTACTCGTGATCCATCTTTCTACTCATCTCTGAGTTACAAAACTTGTGTAGCCTGTGCTGTGAGCCACAATTGCTCCCCTACATAAATTTCATACTCCTACTATAAGTTCTTTTTTTTCTCTGTCTTCACCTTTCCAAATCTGATATGAACTTCATAAACCATTTGTCTTAATGTCCCTGTATCTTAGTGTAGCCCCAGGAGAATTAGTGCAAAAAGTGGAAAGGATATTGAAATAGCAGAGTAATAACTCAAAATTTAGCAGTGTTGTTTTATGTAAATCAGTATTCAATGCTAATTATTCTTTTCCATTCAGTAGTGAATAATCACTCAGTACAGAAACTGGAAGACATTTTCAGGAAGGGTCTGTGTGATTATTCACTTATAGTATGTGAGCAAAGCTTGGAGTTACTACTCTGCTATTTCATGCCAAAATCACTTCAGAAGCCGCTACACAGCTCTCCTCCGTCGAAGTAGTAAGGGTTTCGGCCAAAAATCCAGCTTCTGGCATGAGTGACATTTTAAGTGTCACTTCTGTGCATGAAATTTAACTGCAGTGACTCTAAAGGCTGTATTATCACATTCTCACTACCAATAACACTGCAGTTGCAAAAATTGCTCCAAGATTATCATAAATGAATTAGCAAAAATCATGAAAAATCTCTTAATCTTAGTATTTGTGTATTTTGTTCTTGAACTCTTACACCATCTGTACTATGACATAGAATAGTTTTCTTCCATGCATACTGTGTCGTAGCCATTTGCTGAGATAAGAATATATTTTTGAAGATAAAATGTCAACTTGACTTTTCCTGGAGAATCCATTTGCATTGTTTATTTTGGGCTTCTGCCTGTACGTTGCTCTGTCACCCACAAATATTCGCTGTATGTTTCTCTCTTCTCTTCTAGCCAAGGTTATAAATCGAAATTCGATTTCATTAAAATCATGAATAATCTTTCTCTAGCTCTCATTGCTAGTGATTGGGTGCAGGGGGATCCCGGCTGCTCCCACAACTGTAATTCAGCCGGCCTCACCAGCCCTTGCTCACAGATCGCTTGAGCTGCACTTTCTGCACAAATTTATGGCATCAGCACTGTCCAGAGGTTGACTTACAGCTGGAGCTCTCATCGGGGACTGCATCACTCTGCATCTCATCCCAGCAGCCTGACAGCAGCAGGGGGGAGCCCTCTTGTTTTACAGGAGCTGCGCGTTGTTGTTCTGCTTCTTGTCAGGGGCTGAATTGCCTTCGGAATCAGGCACCTGCCAGCACAAAGCTGCAAGCAAACAAGAAGATCAAGATGACACGGTGTGTAAATGACAGACACGCAGGCAGTGGGAAGCCAGCTGCTTTCTGCCGCGCTCGCCACAATTTTGCTCCCAAATTAATGGGACGGCGACTGCCCATGGATGGTGCTCCTGTGTGCTTGGATGCTGTGTGAATATTCTGCAGCCCCATCTGTGGAAATGAGACCCCCAGCATTCACCAAAAACTAACAATGTTGATATTCACTGGTGATGGAAAGTCACCTAACTATTAATGGCTTACATTAATTATTACAACCATAGTTTTACCATCCAGCTGCCTGAAATGAGGACTCTCAGGTCTCCCTTGGGAACTGCTCTTCACTAGGACTCTAGAAGCAACTTTCCTGACGTGCTTAACCTCAGTTTGGGAAAGCAAAATCTGGTGTCTTGCCTCTGAACTTTAGTGTATCCATACGCACATGCTCCTACATCACGGAGAACTGGCATGTATCATTATCTACTACTCACTTAAGTGAGCTTTACTGTTAAGTAATTAATGGAAATCACTCAATGCCACAATATGGTAGTGTCACCACCGTTCTGCATCTTGTGCCTTCCACTAATTTGCTTGTGTAGTTTTCTGTGTTTTAATAGCAAAACCTTCCACATTCCAGGTTTGCAAGAACCCTGAGAGGCAAATCCTATGGGGTGTGGAAAAACACCCATTGATTTTCATGTGTTCACTAAGAATTTACCCCACATTTTATTTGCAGTTTAAGCTCTAATTTCTAAAAACTGGTTTTAGAGGAAGCTGAAGGTTTTTTGCTTCTCTGCACAACCTCACTGGTTTTTGATGTGCTTTGCTGTCGGATCTGACACGAGACGGGCTATGGGAAATGTCTGCCTCATACGATGGGCTGCAGTGCAAGCGCTTGGCTGCGGGGCCAGGGGTCTCACCTGCTGCCTGCTGCCCTGCTTTGCACACTCCCCTTGCCTGGCTCCCTGGTACCATTTCTCAGGTGTCTTCCAATGGGTTTTCAATGTATTTCACTCCATTTCCTCATTTTTTTATTCCTTTGCAAACTGAAATATATTTTTTCCACTCCTAATTAACTCCCTGCCACCCTGCTTGTGGTAAAGCCTGATTTATTTTCCCCTCTCTGCTTTGAGAGGACAGGATGCTTAATCTCTTCTGGGTGGACGCTGAAACACCATCTGAATAAAATGCTGATCACTCATCTGGGTAGCTCCTGCCAGCTCTTTCCTGCATTCCTGCTGCCCAGGTTTTGCATCATTTGCAGTCGTTTCCTTAAATGACACCATCTTTTTCCTTCTCCGCTGTTGGAGACTAATAATTCCCAAATTAGCCAGCAGTCACATCTAGGTGTGCGTGTGTTTGTCTCTCCTTCCAAATAATCCGTGACACCGTGAACGTTCACAGGCCAACAAAGACTGTTTAGATAAATACTTTGCAAGGGTATTAAGCCAAGGGATACAATTTATTGCGTTTGTTGTTCTTTGTTTTAGAGCTTTCTTTTCTGTTGACAGGGACCCGCTTTTCACGTTAATCTCCACTCAATAGATGCAGAGCAATAAGGAAAGGTTGGGATCCCCCCATCCAGGGAGCAATGAATAAACATGTAGGAACAAACAGGTATTACAGCCCAGTGAATTAGCATTTTGAAAGCCTCTGCGTTTGAAACCCATCTGCAACGTGAAAATCGGCTATCAGATACATGTGGATGCTCTCCTACATGTTTGCAGTGGCAATCGCCTTCAGATGGCAAAGCCACACTGTAAGTGCCAATGTTTTTCACATCTTGAAAATATTTGTATAAAAAAGGAAGGAGAAAAGATTGCCCATCTGCAGCGTGTAGTGAAAAATTATGTGGGCAGAACGCACAGCATGTGCTACGCGAAGGGAGGCAGGTGAAGGAGGTGCAGAAGGAAGATTTTTCTTCTTCATACGGAAGCCTCGAGAGACCCCTTTAGTGACATCTCTAATGTCACCCTTCTCAGATATGCACCCGCTCTGCCGTTCCTTTGGAATAACCTGTGCTGAGAAATGTGATGGCAAATTCACCAAGTGGACTTGGAAGCGTGGCCTGCCAGCCCGTTAATGGTCTCAGGCAAATACTGCGGACCCTGTTCTATTTATTCATCCCAAAGTGTAGCTGTTAATTAAGAAATATGAGGCTGGCGAGCGGGTGACAAGCATGTGCAAGCATGACCTTGGCAATTCAGGTCAGCCTTGGAGCAGGATTGTAAAAAATTGCATCATTTGTAACCTTTTCAGCACCAGCCTTTTTAAAAACAACAGTAAGCAGCACTTTCCTTTGCACCTGAAGAGAATTACTAAAGAGAACATCTGTTTTCTCTCCACATGTGGAACTGCTCTAGGAAGCGATGCAACGGTTATATTAAGGCTTGCTAATTCTCTGCTTCTTTTGGGAGCTACCTGTTACCCACAGAGATATTTGGCTCTGTATCACCAGGTGAAAAGCTTTTTTTTTTAAAAAAAAAAAAAAGCACGCAGAAAAAATGGGCATATTTTGGCAGCAGTCACAATAGGTTCAGCTCTTGGGCAGCTCTTTTCTGGGGGCTTGTTTTTATACTTTTTGAGATTTTTGCCCTGTATTTTTTTTCTCTTAAGTGCTTTTTATAGTGTGGACCTCTAAACCAAACAGGTGGGTGAAAATTACACTTGTCTTCTCCCAGTAATTAATTGTTTGGGGATTAGCATGAGGTTTTGTGTTTTGAATGTAAACTAATCCACTGGTGGGAAATGAAGGAGAACAGGCTACTGTCAAGTAATCTGAAAATAGTGAAAATTAACCGAGTGAGGTGCCACAAGTCACCTACTTCAATGTATATGAATAATGTATCCTCCATGGGATAGAAGATGAAAATATCACAAAGAAGAGAAAAAAAAGGTGACCACAGATGTAATGAAAGGAGCAGTCACACTTTGCCTCACAGCATCTTTTAGCAATTTTATTGCTTGGTAGTGGCGGGGCTATTGCAAGAAAACCCGTGTTTGGGAACTCAGGTGAGGTAAGAACCAGACACTCTGCAGCTTCTGTACTCACAGGGCCAACAGTGGGGAAATATAATTAAAAATCAGAATATGTTGGAATTTAAAAATTGGGATTTTGCTCATAGAGTGAGCAAATTACAATTTGGATCATAAAGACTTGCAGAAAACATCCAGCCAAGGTCTGAGTATCTCTAGCAAAACCACTAATATACTAGTACTGAAAGGAACCCATAACAAATGAGGTTACTAGAATACTAGATCTCTTTGAACTCTTCTTGTTTCATCCCTGCTCTGCAAGGCCTGGTTCAGCTTGTCCCTCTCTTTTTTTTAGGCTGCTATGGAGAATATGCGGAGATGGCCACTGAAAAAGCCACGTGAACGCTCTGATAATTCAATAAGCGGAAAGTGGTTCTTTTGACATTGCAAATCTGCCAGCTTAGGTAAGGGCTTGAAGTGCATTTATACTGCAGCACCTCCTCAGATAAGCAACAAGTGTCACAATCTCAGCAATAGAGAAAGAGCAAAAGGAGCTTAGATGATAAATCCTCAAATCTAGAAGCTTTGCTCTCTAAATGCCCAACAAGAAATTCAAGGGCACCTGGCTCTTCAAATAAGTCACACTAAGCCAGAAGGGCTTCTGCCCCATGGCAACTATCAACAGTTCAATATTTTGACTCAGTTTTATCATCTAGCACAGTGGTCAGAGAGGACAAGGTGGGTGATTTGTCCACTCAGGTGATTCCATTTGTGCATAGTTTATCTTTCTGTTGTCTTAAGGTTGCAGGTAATTGCCAAAGTTCTAAAGTTTAACTCATGTTAGAGCTAGATATGTCACTCTTGCAGAGTGCTGTACTGCAGCGTGTAGGTATAGCCTCATGGTTGTTTTATTTGCTTCCTGTTTTCACCAATCAAAATATTTTTCCTGGCAGGGACAGAGTTTGGCAGCGCTTGGGAAAATGACATCAGTGTCGCAGGAAGAGGCAAGCACTCAGTTTGTGTAGCACTTAGAGGGGCTATCGGCTGCATTCTCAGCTGATAGCACCTCCTCCACTCTGTGCCTCCTCCTCTGGTGATGATAATGGGTTTTTGGAGGACAGAGGGTAGTTTTTAAGCTATGGGTCACATAAGCCATGTGACTGCATAAAGAGTGGGGTACTATCCGGATGAAGCCTCAGAAAAAAAATAATATTCAGTCAACTTCAAGGTTCAAGATGCTGAAATGCTATTGCTGCAGCGCTGCAAGAGCAAACAATATTGTTTTCTGTCCTGTTTTCAGATGGTTTCTGAATGATTAGACAAGCAACAATGATGCTGTGGGCAAATGAGGGAGGGATGGACTTTCTTGACAGTTAGATGGGAGCTACTGAGAGCTGTTTTCATGGATGAATGCATAAAGAACTAAGGATGTCTGGCAAATGACTTGTCTGCTGAGTTGATTGTATACTATAATTTCACTCTTACTTACGGATGAAGCGGGCCTATCATGAGAGCTGGTTTGCATAGATGCTGGAGCTCTTGGCCAGAAACCCGCAGAACCCAGAAGCCTGGAGAGGTTCTCAAATGGATGCCAAACTAGGAAAGCAGGAGTAACTGAGCTAATCAGCAAGTGCCAGTCTGAGCACTTCACAGTTATACAGGGCCTGATTAGCAGCTGAAGATTCCAGCGGGAGTCCTGAGCCCTCAGCTGCTCTGAAAATCAGGCTTATAGAATATGGGGGGAGTGACCAGTTTATCTCCATCCTACTGGTCCGAGTGGCTGCTTCTTGTGGGACAACGGGGACATCCAGTGGGTGAACGTGTGAATTACAGCAGTACTTCGTAAGTGGAATAAGTCTGAGAAATGAGACCATACAGTAAGATCAGGGGAGGGAAAAGCCTTTCTCAGTAACGGGTTCTGTCCTAGAACGAGCAGCCTGTTTTGTGTCACAGCACCTCGTGCTCTTCTCCTTCTGCAATACCCAAAGGTGTTTGCAAGTCATTCCTCTTACTAAAGAGAAAAATTTAAGTTTGGAGGGAGAGCATTGACAACAACATCTCTGATTAACAGTCACACTGAGTGCATGCTTCCCAGGAGGATCTTATTTATTTACTTAATTGCTAAAACTGTGAACTCCATCTCCTGCAGCAGCTTGAGGCCCCCACAGCCCTAACTGTCTATCAGTTTCCAGTCCTGCCACTTATTTCCCTCAGTACATTGTTTTCGTATCCCTTTGCCCACTATATGCTCACACATTTAACCCCAATATTTGATGGTGGGTGTACAGGCCTGGGGCAGAATTAACTAATTGAAGCTTAAATTTGATTAGATGGCTCTGACATAAGTTATTGGAAGCAGAGGCAAAAGAAGCTATATGGACAGGATCACATCATGCTGTTAGAGTGAGTACTTGTCTTCTTCATTTATCACTTCCTTTCGTAGCCAGGTTTCAGATCTCATCTGCTGCTAAGTGATCACAAACCAGCTGCTCTCAAAAATGTTGGGTTTTTTTTCCACCAGTACCTAATCAGGAGACCAGGGGGATTTTCTTTCAGACTTGTACTTTGATACTTTAATCCTCATCTCATCGTTGGCCCTGCACTAGATTGCTTCAATATGCTTTACACGGAATTACACCTGCTGCCAATCAAGGAACTAAACTTCAAGCAGAAAACAACCATCTGTAGCAGTGTCGGTAGAGCACACAGCTCCATCACTCTCCGTTGGCAGCAGCTATTGTTGGTATCCCTGACCTTTAAAACCTTAGCTATAACCTATATGCAGGTATATAATATATATTGTTATCATGTGTCCCCTTCCCTCCCTATTTACATGATTTGCTTTGATTTATGAGGTAAAAACGTCCGTTTCGGGCTCGCGCGTCGCTCCGCGCGCCCTGTTAGGGCGTGGTCGCCTCAGCCAGCCCCTGCGCGACGCGACGCGGGCCCCGCCAACGGTCCCGCACGCGGCGTGACGTCACGCCCCGCCCCGAACGTGCCTCCTTCCACTGCGAGACCTAGGCCCCGCCTCCTGCGAGATCACCCCGCCCACGACCCTGTCTTCTCTTCTCTGATTGGCGTTTCCGCGACTTGCCCGGCCTCCTCCGAGAGGCTCCTCCCCCTTTCCCCGCCTTCACGCCGTCGCTGAGGGCCTAGAGCCCCGTCTCCGGCTTGTCCCCGCCCCCTGCGGCAGCTGCTCCAATCGGAAGCAACATCTGTTGACCGGCATCGCCACCACCCAATGCGCCGCGGACGCCGCGCGCGGCGGGGCGGGGGCCGGGG